AGAAAATTCTAAGAATTCTTGACTATCGTTATTAATTTGCTTCGCCGAACTCTTTGTATTATTATTAACTTCCATCGCCGTGCTAGGCTTTGAATCAAGGTCTAAATAATAATAAAATTTGGAAGGCATTTTTTTTTTTAATTGAATTAATTTTTTTGTTCGAAATAAAATTTGTTAAATTTGAAATTTTTAGATAATTTAGTAGGTGGGAAATTTTGATCCTTTTAAATGTTATGAAAATTTTATTAACGGAATTCTCACATTATTAAAACCCGGGATGTGAATGCCATTTAATTCGATAATGTTTGACTAAAATGGTAAACGATAATTTGTGTCGGAAAACAAAAAAATCTTCGATCATCATCCAATACTATTTTATTGCGTAATCTAAATTAATGAAAGAAAGAGAAAGTGAAAGAAAAAGGAAGTTTATATAAATAGGGGGGGATGAGAGAAGAAAGAAAAGAAACAATGAAAATGAATGAAAAAAAATTTTAGTAATAAACAGAATACGTAATTGAGTATATGGCATGATATATATATATATATTTTATTATATAATACTTAATATTCTAGAAGGATGTAAAAAATTGATAACTACTCCGCAACCATTTCGGAAAAATTTGGATATTATTTTTTTCTATAAAGGGAGCGTTCTTTCAAAGTTTTGCGTGACTAACATTTTTTGCTTTGTTTTACGATCCGATCTTTTACGTATTATTAGTATATAATAATGCATTATATGTCTTTCTTTAATTTTTATTTAAAAGATAAATATATATATAAAATATAATATAATACAATATAATACAATATAATACAGTATATAAATATATGACACAATTAGAATAAAGAAGTTTCTATAAATTTTTAACAGAAATAAGAAACAATAACATGATCTTCATTCTAGTTTTTGTTTAAAAACACATTAGTAATACAATAAACAAAACATATCGCGTGACATCGATTTTTCGATTAAATCGGAAATGTTACTAATATCATGTGATGCGTAAATGAAAAGTATTACTTATAAGTATAAAACAAAAGCATCCTTAATCAAAGTTAGTTTCAAGAACAGATTGTAAAATTTCACGCTCACAATTTACACTTTTTACTGAATTAAATTAAATGCGATAGACAATAGAATCCATTTCACTAGCATTTTCGTGTGAATTTTAATGAACAAGTAACAAGGCCAATCAATAAAAAACAAATATTTGTTTGATGAAAAATAGAAAACATTTATTATATGAAATTTCCATACGATAACCTATTAAGCATAGTTTATTAGGATTCACTGATATTTAGTGTCGGATAGTTTTTTTTATCGTGAATTGTTGACATACATTAACTTCTTTTTTAAGTTTGATTTTTTTTTTATAACAAAATGTGAAATTTATGTTATCAGATGATGACACTTTTATTATCACAAATTTATCTTTCAACATCCTGATAATGTAAAAACTGATATTATAATATTATTTTAGACTTTTATGAAACCCTTATAAAAAAAATTCTGATCATTTTTCTAGTTTTTATTCCGAAGAAACTCAGACACGTGATCATTTTTCTAAAAAATTTTTTATAGGGAACGGTAGATTTTTTGCTATCTCAAATGTAACGTTTAAGAAAAAAAAATGAAATAAATGTCTGTAGCAAAGCGAAGGACTACACAACAAACCACCCTAACATCAACCTATATCAACCTCCGAAAAATGGTAGCTAGCGGGTGGATAACTAACTAATCTCATGTCGATTATCCATGATACGTTTTAATAATAAACTGGTTTTATTTAATTTAAAACCAGTTCATTTAATGAATTTTTCATAATAATTATATCAAGCCAACAAAACTAAATCTGTCATGATGTTCTTTGATGTTAATATGAAGAGAAAAAGAGAAAAATTGTTTACGCTGTCAAGATAAAATAAAGACTACTCGTTCAATTAAATCTAATCTATTTCCACATTATTAATTCAAAGTGGCACTGTTCGTTCCGATTGTGGCGCAATGGGCGAAATGTAAAAAATCGTGGCAAAAATGCACTTGTACGTCTTTCTTTACAAATATGAAAAAATGTAATCATGAAATAATTTGAAATATTTGTTATTATAGAAAATTTTCTTATATAAACACCTTGAGACAATGAAAATTTCTTCAAACAAATTAAACAAACAACGAATTAAAAGTTATACATATCACGAAAAAAAAATATATTATCTGAATCATGCAATTAAAACACTTACTGTTGATTTTCTGCTTTACTATGGTTTTAGCGAGTAAATTATAAATTATGAAAAAATTTTTTCTTTTTTATCAAATTAGTTAAACGAATTCTTTTAATAATATTTTAATTCACCATTGACGCAGACGCAGAACCAGATACGTTGAAACGTGACGCGGACGCAGAACCAGAAGCGTGGGGATATTTTTAACAAACGTGACGTAGAACTAGAAACTTAATTTTAAATTTATTTTATTCGGTTATATTGTGTAATAATTAAAATATTCAATTTTTTTAATTCATAATAAATATACTATATTATATTATTAGTTTAATAGAACTATTAGAATTTTTTACTGTCCTGACGTAGATCTAAAATAAACTTAATACATTAAACCTTTTTTTTGATTATTGATAGTAAATGAATTAAATTAAATATCAATACTACGGTTGACAATGTTCCTTTTTTTCCTATCACTTGGCGTAACGTGTCGACATAACAATTAAACAAATAAAACAAATAACCAGTTACTTTTGAATTTAAAATGATCAGCATACGCGTATTATTCGTAGGGAAACGATAAACGTTACAAAGTCTGGAGCTTATCACGTTGGAAATGATGCAATAACATGAATGGTCAAACAAATATAAAAAAAGCAAACTCACAATTTGCACAAATAATTTATTTTGTTTCATATTTGCTATAACATTTTACAAAGATAATAAAAATTCTATCTGTTTGGATCGTTAAAAGCTTTACATAAAAGATTTAAAAAATATAAAAAATGGAACAAAAAAATATTTAATAATCAAAAAACTAAAAAAATATAACACGAAAGAAGTTCGACGTTTGATTTATGGTCACGTGATCGCTGTTACGTGACAATTGTAAGTATATGAAGAACCAATCATGGTGATGGAAATACGATTTTTAATCCAACTCAGGAAGCTGGTTTATTTTTCTTTATTTAAAGGGAGTAACTCTGAAACAAAGCTATTAATACCGTATTTTTCGGTATATAAGCACCCCATTTTTGCACTTGATGCCGGCCAAGATCCTCATAATTCTGGCCAGGGTGCTTATTTTCGGGGGTGCTTACTTACCGCAAAATACGGTAATTATATTTTTAACGAAATATTTAATAATATTCACAAAAAAAACCATAAAATGCTTTCTTCATACATACTATTGTAATAGAATTTTATCAGGCATTTTATTAATTGGTGATTTATGTTAGTACAACCAGTTACTAAGTTGTATAAAAATACCTATTACATAAGCCCTGATAAAACAGTTGCACTTCGTGCCGAGTAACTATTAATTATTGGTCAGTCTAATAGGATTATGCAGATTTTGACGGACTGATATTTTTTGTTGATGGCTGAATAATTGATATTTTTCTTTTATTGGCTAAATATCAAATATATTTGCAGTTTAATTATACTTTTTATATACTCTTACTATAATAATAGCATGATCTTGCGTGACTGACGCAATAATCTAGTTATTGGTTATGGTGGATGAAATATCGTGTCACCCCTTCGGGGTGACCGATATTTTACCCCCCAACCAATAACTATTATATATTCGTCATTAAAAGAAGAACATTAAAAATAAAAGCCAAGCAGAATATTGTTCTAATTAATGCTTAAAGAATTAAACTTCAAAGAGCACGGTAGTCTTTTCCGAAGCTTCCAGAAAACAATTTCTTCAATATAATTATTAAAATGATTACAATCGTAATACTTAAAGTAACTTTTCGCAATAGCTTCTTCAATCCAATTAATCCATTTATTATTTTTAGTTTTCTCAAATCTAGTAGTAAATAGCAATATTTTTTTTGAAAACAATCTTTACTTTTTTAATCTATAATTTTCATAATTTTTGTCGTAAAATTGTATCAGTTGGGTTTATTACATGTTCACAACTATTGCATTCACGTGTCATAAATCAATTGCATTGATAACCAATTTATACTAGCAGTAACCCGTTGCTTCGCACCGGGACCAATGAGTTTGTTTAAATAGAAAAATTAGGAATTTAATATGGTAATAATTAGTTAACAAAAAATAATAAAATAATATGTATTAAATTATATTTATAAGATTAGATATAAATTTTATTTACAATAATGTAGTTATTTATATTAATGATTTGACGTTTGAGTGTAGAATGAAATTGATTAATTTTTTAGAAGTATTTTTGAAAAAAAACTTTATGAAAATACTACAAATATTTTTGTTAATTAATTATAAATTTTATAATTATTCTTTTATTATTTTATATTACATCAATTTTAAACTTAGGAAAAATATTTGAACAATTAAATGTATTAGAATCTGTTCATTTCATTTATTATTCTTCTTTTGATACTCATTTTATTTGATAAATTATTAATTTAACTAAACTATTTGAATTAAAATTTTTATTCAAAAATCTGGTGATTATTTAGAGAATTTCGGTTATGGATTTGGTTATAATAGTCTATTATTAAATCAACCATTTCTTCAATTAATTAATTATAAAATATTGTAAAATATTACGGATCGTTAAATAGATCAGGCGGGGGTTTTAATTATATGGCATAGGATTTCAAGTTACACAATTCACGGAGACTAATCCAAACGTCAGACAAATTTTTTTAGTTATATAGATTTTTCCTACATATTATACATAATTCAACATGATATTATGATAATACTGTTAGTGCAAGTATGTATTTATTATATATATATGTATTATTAATTATTATTCCACCATATTATGAATTAATTCATCTAATCATATCCACATACACAGCCTCATATTTTTTTCCAATTTTTTTTATAGTCTTTTTTGGAGTAAGGTTATAACTTGATCCCGCATTCTTATTTGTACCTGTAAACCTGTTCAATAAAATAGAAATTCTCTCCTTATTAACACTTTTTTCTTTTCTAATTCATTTAATTTGCATACATGCAATCTAATGATTGTCTTCAAAATAAACCAGTCAAATACAAAGCATCCTAACCTTCAGAACAAATGAACAATAATGAAAAAGCAACTCTAGTACCTTCAGAACAATTGACAATAATGAAAAATCTAAAATCATTGGAGAATGTATCTATTGTTATCAGGAAAAATCCATTAAATTAGGGGAATGTTACAAATGTTACCAAAAAGAAGTAATAAACTTTATAGTAACAAGAAGGAATGTCCTGAATGTAAAAAAAGAATTACAGACATGAATAGGATGATAAATGACAAAAGAATATTTGATAATTTTAATAATCAAGTAGCATGTAAAACATGTAATGAACAAAATCAAAAAAGAGAAATGTATAATGAAAATGGATAATGGTTCTGTTCCGCCAGAAGAGTTGGAGACAGATGTAGATAATGCATTTAGTCTCAGAAATTTCGGTCCAATGGTCAGTATATCACGTATCATATACTTCTTACTCCATACGAAATTCCATAAACTTTATCGATACCGATCCCATAACTTCCTTTTTGGTTGCAGGATCGATAATATTTCCAAATTGCTTACAAACATTTCCGGCTCTTTGGGTCTTCTTATCCAGATTTGATTCTGAAACCTTAGGTAAAGAAGCATTAATCATGGTGTAAATGGTGTAAACTTGAGACTTCACAGTTTTTTCCGCTACACCAGTTTTAGAGCAAATTTCTGCAATATTATTTTTGTATGATTCTCTATAAATAAGCATACCAGCATACATTTTCTTTTTATTTAGCTTTTATCGTGGCCTTCTCCATCAGCTACTACATTATTGAAATTGGAAATGTTAATTGGTAAGGCAAGTGGATAATAGGTAGAGAGTTTTCCTGAGATGAACTATGCGATGAAATATGCTTGTTTTCTAGTGAAACAAAAATGCAGCATCTTGCGACTAAGCATGATCAGAGGCTATAGGGGTCACAATTTCTAGTGCAACTTTAAATGCCGAAGGAGTTGTGTAGCAATCAGATAAGTCTTACGGTTGATTTTTAGCTGACCCACGCTGAAGTTTCTTCTCCCCATTCCTCTGCCTTATATTATCACTAACACTTTTCTTGTTCGTCTCATCTACTAGTATAAGAAAGCATCCCTTTCTATCCTCTGATAACTTGAAGCTAGCGGGTATATATCGAGTTATCTATAGATAACCACCCTTATGGCACCACATCATTGACTTCGTGATCAGGCTTACATTGCTCTAAGCAGAGTCGAGTATATCGCATCCGTCCGTAATTCTGCTCCATCTTCGTAACCCTAGCTTAAGTTCAACATTCTCAGTTGAAAAATCTGCTTTACATTTTTCCAGTTCCTCGATTCTGGCCTTAAGCTTGGAAATCTCTTCCATGGCCTCACGTTCTCAGCCTCGATCTTACTAGCAACCTTCTTTCTAAGTTCAGGGATCTCGGCATTCCTGGCCTCGAGCTCACCTTTCTCTGCCTTAACCTCAAGTTCGGTGAAGTGTTGCCTCAATAAATCTACTTCGGATTGCATACCCGTTAATATAATATTATTTATGCTCTGTATGTTAATATTCAAAATTGAAAAATTCACGCGACATCCTGACCAATGGTCTGCAACTTTTGCCAAGAAAAGTTTTTATTAGTATATGCAAAAATAAATACAAAGGATCGGGACGTAGCCCGTGATACATGATTGTTCTATGCTTAATAAAGCTACCTATGCCTGTTTGCTAAAGCTATTCTAAATCCTAATTCGACTTGGTACTGGAAGTACCCTTTCCCGCGAGATTGTCGACCTTACCCTTTTGATTTCTTGCTCACCGCCTAAGTTAACAGCTGAGTCCGCCTTTTGTGCCTCCTCCAATAACCATGTAATATGCCCGAGGACTCTATCAACGTTATCTACATGTTCTTACTATCATATACAAAGGTTACCGGCTTCGATAGTTTGGATCTTAGCCTGTCCTGGTCATCGAGCGAACATTCCATAAAATACCATTTTCCGCATCTGTAACAATTTCATAAGTCTTACCCGTAAACAAACCTTCTTCCTCCACTTCATTTGCATTACGTTTACGATTTTATAGAGCAGATTCGAGTTTTACAGCATTCTGAGCAATGCCCTTATAAATATCTTCGTCCTTTACTTCTGTCACACCGCGGTTTGGAGTAAATCTATCGCGAAATCGACTGGTCCGTGTCCATTAGGTCCTGTAATGTTTTTTTTCAGATCGAAGCTCAACTTGCCTTCGTGTAGATTTACCCAGCGACAAGGTATGAGCAAACATATTGTTATTTCGATGCTTCATTTCCACTGATTGAAATGGACTTAAGACGCGCCTCCAATTCGGCTATAAGATGTTTAAGTATTGCCTGGGAATAATCGTCTTTTAGTTCTTTATGCTCGCAAGTGAAAGGCGGGAACACTGATAATGAATGATCGTCTGATTCGCCAAGACCATAAAGTTGATACCTTTGAGAACGACCGATCAGAAAAGGGTTTTGAGGGCGTTTCTATGAATACGGTGAACTTGAGATTATTTTTTGACACGAACAGCTGAAGCATTCACGTAGGTCTTGATCAATACGAGGAGAGTATTTTCCGCTGTCATTTAACATGTTGAGCACTGCCCCCATCATTTTCAAGTGCAGGGTGTTCGATATTCACTGTCCTTCGTCCGTTTCGAGCTAACGACGATATCGAAGTCTGCAATGCAAAGCCAGTTAGAAAAATTTTCACGAAGTAACTCTTCCCACTATTTTTTATATACCATAAACGGACTTGTTGAGTAATGCTTTCGACGAGGTAAGTTTGTCAAGTAATTCCTGTTCACGGCTCGAAGTGGCGGTTGACACGAGCGCTTCGACTAGGACATAAATACATTCTTCGGTTGGTGAATCAGGAAAGTGTTTCGAGTTTGTCTTTGTCTTTGAGATTGCCTAAGTGATCGTCGCGATCGTCAGGGATTTTCACCTTCCATAGCTTGAGCTTGTCTGCGTCTACACCAGCAAAGTCGTTTTGTTTTTCGCCTTTATATCTCCTTGAGGTCACTAATATTCTCGTCCCTACTAATTTTAACAAGACAGAGTTAAACAGAACAAAGTGATAGACATGTTTTTCGGCTTATGTAGTATTTTTTGCGAAATTTTATTGGTGCAAGCTAGCGTATGTAAGCGTATGTGAGGACAAGTGTAAAATTTGTGAAAAAATACCAAAGCCTAGTATATGTGAGAAAATGAGCGTTTCACAGATCTGCTGTGTGATTCATTAATTTTGTATTTTGTAGCACAATGCAATCATTACGTGACTTTTGACGATGAATATGTCAATACTTTATTATTTACGAACTATTACAAAAAATAAAATTGCGAATAGATCGCTTACATAATGCAATGAGAAAAATATATTATTCAATGACTGTTAATGCTTGTTGTTTTTGATTTTCAATACGGAAATAACGTCCAGCGTAATTTCATAACTATACATCCAAAGTATAATATAACTGCACTATGAAAAAACACTATGAAAACATACAAAACAAAAATGTATATTATCAGCACAAAAACTGCATGGATTTCTTTTGTAGGGAGGCCGCGTTACTCTATAGTGCCAGCAAAATCAGAAACCAAAATTAGCATATGCACAAGCATGGGTTTCTACAATATTTGGATCATTATCGGTTTTATCTCCAATTATTACTGTAATTATGTATGCACTAGGAAGTATTGGTGTTGGAACATCTGGTACATCAATTGAAAATGGAGCTGCGTTCGCATAATAAAAATCCAAAGCCTTATTATAACTACTTATGAGAGCATGGTTCTGATCAGTATACAGAACTATAATTTCGGTTTTATAAGGAGTGATTTCATAACCTAACATTACTCCTTCAACTGTATAATTATTGGGTTGATTAGAAACAGGGGGGAAAGGATTAAGGTTTGCATAGATGGTAGAGCCGCTAGGATTTGTATATGGACATGGCAAACCTACGTCTCTACTTCTTTTAAGAAATTGATATGGAACAGCATTGACCATGGCAAGTGCAGCCAATAAAAGGAATGCAAATATCAAATTTCGGTTCATGATTATTTTGTGAAGAAGATAGTTTGAAAAATATCTGCTGGGTTGAATTATTTCTTTTGTGAATATTAATTATTTAAATGTGTTTATTAATAATTTAGCTTCAGAGTTACTACTTTCTTTTTATAAGAAAATACCAGACCAATGGATTTCGTATTTCTTCCTTTTTTAAAACATTTGATGATCCGTTCCTATCTAATTCAAGCAAAAGTATCGGACTTAACCCCCCTTATTATAAAATATAATTTGCCTAATTCAATGTTCATACTAAATTAAAATATGGATCGACCAACCCGGGGTGAAAATGGATTAACCCATTGATTTCCGCCGATTGTATCTCTCTCCAGTTGATGAACATGTACAAACAGTACCCGCTGGATTTCCTTGGATCATTCGTCATTTTTTCAGTTTTTATATGGAGGGCCATTGCCGAGATCCTTCGCCTGTGGACTGTTTTTTCTATACGAAAAAAGTACCTTGTTTTCTTTGCATTATAGAAGAATCGATAGATAGACCTGCTGTAAACATTGTGTTATTATTCCATTTGAAAATTTGATTTAAATTTAATTAGTAATACACACCCCTCCCTCAAAAATATATTTTTCGGAGCAACCTATCTCAGAAATGTTAGAAGTTTTTCTTGGCAAAACTCTTCACAAAAATAAGTTATTCTGCCCTCCTGAAAAGTGTAGCTTTGAAGGAAAAGGCTGAACTTCCACATGCTCCTACATGCTTTATATCCCTTTTTACTCACTAGATTCGAAAAAAATATTAACAATAATATAGCTTTTTATCTGCCCTTTAAAACGGAATGAGTTAAATTTGTTTAATATTTGCGCTCGTGTGTAATAAATGTCTAAAAAAGTACCATTTTGTTTAATTTTTGTCTTTTTTTGTAATAAAAAATAAATCGGACAAAATGGTGCTTTTTTAAACGTTTTTTAAAAGACGTCTAAAAAAGCACGATTTATGTCTTATTACAAAAAAAAAACAAAATTAAACAAAATGGTACTTTTTTAGACATTAATTTACATTACATTTACCTATAAAAAAAACGAAATGAGTTAATATTATTTAATATTTGTGCTCATGTGTAATAAATATTACAGTACATTATATACAAACCATGTTAAGATGCTCGTAGGGATATCGTACAATAGTTATATAACATTAATTAATGATTTGTACAAAGACTTTATTATTTTAAATTTTATACATGCATTGTATGTATTTTAAGTTTGATAGGGTCTGGCTTATTTCCGGCAATCATTTCACCGACAATTAACTTACCGACAGAGACAATCATTTTACTGACAGTTTTGAAATCCCAATCCTTAATCTCTTTGTTTTGAACGTTTTCTGGTTATTGCTTGGTAAACACCCGGGTTTCTTCAAGATGATGTTGGTCAGTCAACTAGTAAATCAAAACTATATGGGTACCATATAAAAACTTATTATCGAATTTTTTTGTGAAACAAAAACGTCGATCCTTTATTATATAATAATTGAGGTAATATCATTATATCATGGCGGATTTATGAATACCTCAAAATTTGTCCGTCATGTCAAATTAAATAAATATTTGATAGTCTTTTAGTCACCAAATTTTTATTTAAGTCCCAAATTTGTTAGTGAACAGGCAAAAATGAGCTCTAAAAAAATTTTTTGTACCCCAAATCTTGCGTCTAACCAATTTTTCCGTTACCTAACCAATTTTTCCAGTGTTAAAGGTGCGTCATTATTTGACATTTTTTAGGAAAAAAGCTTAATGTTCCTGTAAGTCAATTTTAATTCCTGAGGGCGCAGCAGGTTTTTGCCAAATTTCATAAATCCGCCGCAATGATCGTAAATTGTTAAATTTTGAGTCTTTTAAAAATTGATGAGAAGAATGATGCTTATAAAAGCTTTGAGAAAGATAGCTATATGCTTTTTGCTGCAAATATGGTGAAAATATCTTCCCTTTATTTGGCTATTTTGGATATTGCATAATTGAAATAAAATTTCTTGCCGGAGATATATCTTTCTCAGGTAATTCTAAATTAAATGGGATTTTTGTGGATTCTTATCATAATAGGTGCCTCTTCATTAATAGATAACACTTCTTTATCAAAAAACATCTCTTCATTGACAGAATATACACCTTCACTGGTAGATGATGCCTTTTCATTAGTTTTCCAATATTTATCAAGACGTGCTTTATTTGCTTTTTTTTAAATGGAACCGGCGTTTGTATGATTTATATATATCCATTTCTTACTGTTAAATTAGATGTACAACTTTAACTATTTTGTATCTTAAGAAAAAAAACTATATGAAAATCATTAATTAAACCCAAAGTTACGAAGCTATTTGATATAAGATACCTAGTATTTAGTTTGAAAAGTCAAACTTTGATATATAGATAGATTTTTGTCTATAATACTAGAAAATTTAATCATACTTTACAGAAACTTCAAGATCATAGCGATGGCTTAATGCGCAGTAACTGCGTTATAAATACATAGTGACCACATTATGTAATCGTAAAGAAATTACATAGATGCAGTTACTGCGCATTAAGCCATCGCTACGATCTTGAAGTTTCTGTAAAGTAGTTCATAAAAATTAATTGATACCAAAATAGCCGAGAAAGAAGTTGTTATCCAATCTGGGCATTTAAAAAAATAAGCTTTACGTTTATATAAATAATGTGTTGATCAAAGTTCAATCAAAAAATTTAAATAAGCTTACTATATTTAGTTAACCACATATAGTTTTTATTTACTTAGTTGACTGACCACTCCAATGTTTCATCATCAATTTCCATACCCTAACCTAATACTAAACCTTAATATTCCTAATCCTAACTGAAATTTGGGATTTGACGTTTCAGGATTTAGAGTGTCGGATAATGTACCTTCGGGATTTTGTGTTTTGGGATTTCGTACCAAGCCCCCTAAAGATTGAATAAAATTAATTTTCCTTTAATTAGCTAGGATATGAAATTAAATTAAATTTCCCTGTAAAAAAAGTCGATCCGTTTCTTATATTCCATCTTTTTCTGTAAAAGGCTCATATTTCCGTAGTAATGAATAACCTTATATTATGGGATTAATCAAATTATTTAAATTATTTATATTTTCCGTGAATGGATCGCGAAAGGCTGGAGTTTTTACAGAATAGGATGAGAGTAAGCAAATTTTCCTCAGCAAAGATACAATATATTACAATTCTACTTATTACATCTTACTTGAAAGGAACGAGAAAGCTAGGATCCAGAAATATATATATAGGAATCAGGTGATGAAAAAAATTTTTTACTATGAGCTGTATGCATTTTTTCAGGGCCGGAATTATGATAATGCCAGTCTGTTACTATAAGGCCACACAAATTCAATTTTTCGGTTCACTTCACCCGGCCGGGTCACTTTTTCAAATTTCAATAAAAAAAAGTTTATATATAAAAAGTTTATCACGTGATCAATACATAATTTTATTGGCGGGTAAGTTTATCACGTGGCTGAGAACTTCTGGAGCGAAAATAAAATCTTTCCCCTTCAAAAGTCAACCAATCAGATATCACGATTTTATATATAAACTTTTTTTATTAATAAACAATAAACTCCGGGTTCCCAGGTCAATTTTAAATTTCAATGTTACGTGAACCGAAAAATTGAATTTGCGTGGCCTAATAGGAAATAAAATTTTGACTGGCACTATCAAAAATTATCTAAAAAAGGAAAGATTTTCATGATTCAAAATACGCAAACTCAAACCTTGACCCTTTTATATATATTTCTGGGTCCTAGAAAACAGTCATATTATGGGGGAAAATAATACGAAGGACTCTTTCTGACGATCATTCTGCCCAAATTTTTTGCGGAAGGAAAAACGTCTTTTACGAGTTTTTTTATTAATAAAATCCAAATAAAAAACCTCAAAAATGGAGTCAGCATACAAATTTACAGAATATAGATATAGGTTTCTAAAAGAAACAAAAAATATTTTCAGTGCGAACTCAAAGACCCCAGCAAAAAGCCAAGAAAGAGTACCAAGAGACGGCGGTCTCAGCAAAACTGAACAGAGCTTCCTGGAGTTGATACGGAATAACGCTGTACGAAAAAAAGAGACTATACAAGAAATAGTTTTAAAGTGTACAGCAACGTCTTTCGACGTCTATATAGATGAAATAAAAAGACTCTCATGGGAAAATTCAAAGTTGCGAGAAGAGCTGCGGAGGTAAGATCACATGATGGACAAGAAAGGCAAGTTGGAGAAAACACAAGAACGAATAATATCGCAGAAAAATGAGCAAATAAGGAAAATTTCGCAAGAAGTAGAGAAAACGAGATCAGAACTAAAAAAGGTTAAAATTGGCGTTAACAAAGAATTCGATCAGCTGAAAAAATCCAAAAAAGGAAGATCGACATCAAATAGGAGAAAACGGGAAGAAATTTTAGAGATACCAGTTTTACCCGAAAATGTTAGTAATGATCAGCAGGCCAAGGAGGCACGTGACATATTTTTCTACGATATACCAAAATATTGGAGTGAAGACGATGTAAGAACTAATCTGATGAAGTTAGGAATGGTTTATAGACTGCAAATTCGAGGTCAATACAAATACAAAACCGTTAAGGCAAAAATCGCTTTGAACGAAAACTTTGAAAAAACGTTCTTGGATGGACATTTCGGTATTTGTATTAGCAAAAACTTTATCAGATGGTATGACGCAAAACTAGGTTTGAAAGGACGACAAGAGCGGGATCAATGGCAGACTGTGAGAGACCTAACTAACGAAGAAATGGAATCCATAAAGAAGGGAAACACATACGGCTTTACGAAAAAACTGCAACAAACTTCCAAGACGGCTTTCATTAAAATTATCAAAATCACAAAAAATTGGAAAGTGATTGGATATTTAAGGAACCTCAAAGAAATGGAAGAAGCAGTGGAGGATTCATGCACACAGGGAGATATTAATAGAGTTTGGCTTGTGAGAAACAAGAAGACGATATACAAAG